ATATTATGATTACCTACAAAAGATTATATACAATAAAAGAATGTCATTCTTACAAAATGTAAATGAGTAATATTTTTGTCTTCACTTTAATTTTTATTATATTAAACAGATTACGACATCATTATCGAAATATATTATTGCGACATCAACGTTTTATTTGTTATGAAGTTTAATGATTTAATGTATTTTTCTAATTCTTCTGTATTTTTGGGATGGTTATCAACGAATAGACCGACGGACCCATTAATACCACACCCATAATTTAAATAATAGTAATAAATAGTCATATACTGTTTAACATCACCTAATCACTCAAAACGTGATGTGATGTATGACTAGTCTGTCTGTCTTGTACTATACTCTACAGTATTATAGTGAGCTATTATTTCAGGCCGGAATGACGTCACGTATTTATTGAAGTATTCGCGGCAATTTCAAAAATAGAAGACCCAGTACATACATAAACCTGTGGCTATTTTTCTTTAATTCCGGCTTGGATGTCGGATGTCCCTGGTTGTTTTCGTGAACTTAAGATTTTACGAAGTCAACAATGAGAGATAGTATAGCCGGAGTGTTAAAGTAATCGGGGGCGTATTCCGGAAGTCATTGTCTCTATCAGAGAGCACGACTGGTTTGGGCATGTACATAGGACGGTAGTTCTGAGCAATAGTAATAAACAATACAACGCTAATGTACTTCGGCACCAGTACTAAAAAAATGACAAATAGATAAATAAGGAGACGCAGAAAGAAGAAAAAAATTGGTCTGTAGCAGCGTCATGAGAAAGGCAGAGGGGCACATTTAATTCTGATTAAAAGATATTGTTACTTTTAGCTTCTAACACAAGACAGCCCTAAATAAACAGAATCGTCTGTCAACGAACGAGAACCACGTTCCGTTATAAGCAATAAACATTACATTAACATTGCCAGACTATAATAATCCGTATAAATTTTAATTCTAAAAATAATTTGGCAACCCTTAACGTGCCGCACAGCTGCGTTCGCCGATACCTTATTGGTATTGACGTAGTGTTTATTTGAACGCTTGCAGCATAGGAAATAGAGTTCATAGTTGAATGGTTTTTATTTTGAGATTTGCAAATAAATCTTGATGTTGTATTGAAAGCGATTAAACGTTCTAAATGCTTTATTCAAATATACAGGGTGTCACAATAATTATGTCTAATGATAGAAAATTTTAAATAATTTTTTTTTTCCTTTTTATTATTGTCGAAGGTACTATATCCACCAAATTATATTTTTTTCCCCTATCATCCTATTATTACAGTTTGATTGACTATCCAGTTTAATTCGACCAAGTTCCCATAAATCCCCGTTTATTTCCAGAATAAAGTGTATCTCTATAGCTCCGCTGCTAAGTAAGCAAAATAAGAAGGCTTAAGCAAACTTAAAATTATTTTATAATCTGAATATAAATAATATTTTTAGTAAGAAGTATTTGAGCTTATTTCACCTCCCATCTCACAATGAATGTCTATTTTATTTTTGTACAGACAAAGGGATTCCATACATACATCCTTGAAGCCCAAAAAGTACCAGTCAAAAAATTTAAATTGTGGCAACATTTTTACAGTAAATAATATTGGAAGGCGTTGAGGTCACACGGATCGTTACAATCGGTGTACCAATATATGCCGCGAATCAATGAGTAGATTTGGAGGTTAGCGCCGTTGTTTCAAACACAATCATATTCAGCGGACCACCGACGCTTCCTAATTTAGCCACTATTAAGTACAAATGTACTTAAGACTTGTTCTATAAAAATCTAACATTATCATTTTTTATTTTTTTTATTGCTTAGATGGGTGGACGAGCTCACAGCCCACCTGGTGTTAAGTGGTTACTGGAGCCCATAAACATCCACGACGTAAATGCGCCACCCACCTTGAGATATAAGTTCTAAGTTCTCATGTATAGTTACAACGGTTGCCCCACCCTTCAAACCGAAACGCATTACTGCTGCACGGCAGAAATAGGCAGGGCGGTGGAACCCACCCGCGCGGACTCACAAGAGGTCCTACCACCAGTATGAAATGAAACAAAGAGCATTTTGTGTCAAACAAACAATAAATCTGTATATTGTGTTTTTGATCAAAAGTAAAACATTAATTAAATCAAACTAGATCTCAGCACCGCTCCCTAAAACCATTTCTAGGAACAACAAGTGAAATCAATTGACATTTGAAACTTTGAGATCACGTCTCAAGATGCGCCGCGTGGGTCAAGAACTCAACAACTGTTAATACGATCTATTACTGTACAATATCATGCCGGTACGAGAAATCTCAGTTGACAGCACTTTATAGCACATTTATTGCGCCACGAATAGAACTAGGAACTTATTCGATGTAAATCGAATAGAATATTGCACAACGTCATTCAGAATAGTCACAGAATGTCTTAAGCAATTTTCCTTCCTTTTTCTTATACCACTCAATGAACAGACGAGAACTCACTGGCTATCTGTTGTTAAAGATTTACCGAAGCCCATAGATATAACATACAGCCCCACCTTTTTTGGGCCGGGGCCCAAATCGCCTATACGGATGTGGGTCTGGATGGTGCGCAGATATTGGGAGCGGACCGCAGGCCCAAGGGATGGAACATTGCCACCCACCTTACCGGCATAAGACCGAAGATTTTTTTATTGCATAGGATGAACTGTGGTGCTGTATGGATCTGAATGTTGGGGGACGAAAGTAAAGCATGAAAGAAGAGTGCACACGGCAGAGATCCGAATGTTGAGATGGATGTGTGGAGTGACAAGAATGGACAAGATAATGAATGAGTATATCAGAGGAAGTGTGAAAGTATCCCCGGTAATATACAAATCAAAGAGCGGACGGTTAGCGTGGTATGGGCCATGTGATGCGTAGAGAGGAGATGCATGTGACTAGGAGATGTATGGAAATGGTAGTGCAAGGTAGAGGGGGGAGAGATCAACCAAAGAAGACATAGATGGAGTGTGTCAATGACGATATGAGAGACGATTGAGTGTTGAGATGGCGGCTGATAGAAGAGAATGGAAGAGAAAAATAAGCTGTGCCGACCCCACCTAGTGGGACAAGGTGGAGACAAAGAAGATAGACGGATGAACCAGTCACCAACACTAGTATCGGTGATAGACGCTATAGACGCTGTCCTTGTCATAAAAACCTGCGTCATGGAGCTGTGTTCATAACTTCAGGTCTCTAGCTCATCAGGAAGACAGTTTATAACTTATTGCAAATGCGCATTGAACAAAACAAACATGTAACGAAATAGATAGATGAGATTGCTAACCTATTGCCTTCGGAGGCAAACCAACTATGGTTCCCATTGATGATGAATAATCAGGATCGGTGAATCTCAATACCCAAAGCGATTCCTACCACTGATGATCGTGTCAAATTTCATTTGAAGAATGATTTGACACAGAGCGACACAAAAAGAATATCTGAAAATGCACTGTGGAAGAACGTTGTTTCTCAAAGTATTCCCATGAAACGTTCATCACAATAAACAGATAACATTAAAATTTTTCTGTGGATCAAGAAGTTCCAAACGATACGTAAGAGATTCTTTACATTTTATCGAACTTTATGTGACAGCACATCTAGATAGTACAAACAAAATAAACATTCAAAAAGCGGCAAAGGCAATTAACCAATGAAACGCCAATAACATAGTACCACACGCACGGACAAAAACAAAGCAAAGATTCCACGAAAGCTATAAACCGACCGAGTTGTAAATCAGAGTCAATCAGTCGAAGAGCAATGACGGGCCGTGCTCGTTATGTTGGCAGCATAACAATTAAGTTTATTGCTCGTTGACTCAGTTATGTTGGTACCACGCTGAAATAGTTTTCGTTCAGAATATTCTGTGTCTAAATGCATTCATATTTCATACATTCACAAAACACAAATTAATGTAAATAGTTATAGATGGAATACTAATCGAAAATGTTCATGACTACTTACTATTGGTGAGAAAAAAAAAATCTTTTTTAAATACTTTTTTTCTTTTCATACAGGTCATTGCAGTCTAAAGACTTAAACTCTAAAAATAAGGGGCTCATCTACTTTAATGCTTGTTTGGGTATTTTTAATACATCTCGAAAAAGGAGATACTTAATTCTCAATAACACTACATTTTTTATTTCAGACTAATTCCTGGAATATTTTTTATTTAAAAGTTTTTACTTCTCATGTGGTCCTATTACATAAACTTTATAAAGATCTGACAATTTTGAAAAGTTAAAATGTTGGGAAAGATTCGACGTTCAAACTCCCATTAATAATAAACAGATCAGGTACATATCGTTTAAGAATATGACATTTTTTATGTATGAAATTGGCGGATAATACATAGTTTTCGTTATATTTTTAATGAAGACGCGTCTAGGAGCTCTCAGTCCACCTGGTGTTGAGTGGTGATCGGAGCCCATAGCCACCGAGGATTCGCCACCCCCCTCGACAGCAAAGTTCGAAGTGCGAGCTTCTTCTTCATCAAATGCAGAAATTTAAATACCGTTTTACTCAAACATCTTAGTGCTGCTTCCAAATATCTAAAAACTAGCGACCCGCCCTCGCTTCGCTTCGGAAACNCTTGAAGCAAGTAGCTGGGCCAGAATGGTTACGTACAGCAAAGGACAGAAGCAAATGGAAATCCTTAGAGGAGGCCTTTGTCGAAAGACAAGCTGTTAAGAGGAGAGATAAGCCGAATGCCGAGATATGTTTTAGTATAAGTTAATTTTATAGTTTTCTTACCTCTATTGTTATCATTTTATGTTTAGTTAAATAAGTTAAGCTCTAACAGCAATAAAAGCTAATTTAATTATACATATAAACCATCCTCTTCAATCACTCTATCGATTAAAAAAAACCGTATCAAAATCCGTTGCGTAGTCTTAAAGATTTAAGCATACATAGGGACAGACAGATATAGGGACAGAGAAAGCGACTTTGTTTTATACTATGTAGTGATGTAACGTACCTTTATAGGTTTTCTCGTCATCTCCACTCCAGTCCTTGGGCTTCACGGACAAGTTCAATGGCTCCTCGCTCCTATAGGCGAACACTTTCCCGTCTAACTCACTCTCACTAGTCCTGACACTCCTCTGCAGGAGTTGCTCGTGTAACTTATTCTTGTGCACATTAAAACGTCTCTCGTCAGTCTGTATTTGAATGTTTTTCGCTGATTTCGTTTCAAAATTCCTTTTAACGTTAATCAATTGTGTAACGTGTTTCTCTTGGTCCTGCAAGCCTAATATATACTCGATAGTGTGCGGTGTGGGTTTCTTCGGTGGTTTCCCGTAGACGTGCGGATGCCAGGACGGTTCATGAGCTTCCTCCCTTTGAGTTTCCGTTACTTCATTATTGTTCGTTCTCTCTTGCGAGTCGCTGTCGTCTATGATTAGTTCCTCGTCTTTGTCGTCTTCGATGTTGATTTTCTCTTCGATTTCCGGAGTCAGTCTTTCATTGCTCGGACAAAAGTCGTAGTCTAGTTTGCTCTCCGCCTGGTCTAAGTCAGGTGTAGTGTACGTGATTACAGTTTGCATTTCCTCTCGTTCTGTTTCGGAGGTCATGTGTTGTGCCTATCAGTTTCCCGCCGGTGTACACATTGTTCTCAACTAGGGGTTTGGTTCCGCCGTTTGAGGCATCGTGTGAACCTGAAACAAAGGGTTTGAAAATTAGCTAATCGAATAGCCCAATGTGTTATGGTGTGTTTAGAAAAAAATATCCGTAAAATTCGCACTGAACACTTCTTAGGAAGCTTTAATGTTCGTCGCCGATAAAATAGCGTAGTAAGTAAAATTAGATTATCTAACTAACGCGCAATTATATGAAGGCCTGATGTTAAATTATTTGTCAAAAATACAGTTTTTGAAACAAACATCAAGATAGTCAAGTAGACTGAAAAAACCATGAAAGTTAACTCCACCATCATAGACATAAAGATGGAAACAATGAGAAACTTCTGTGATACACGTGTATAGACAAAATTTTAACATGTACTTGCAAAACTAATAAATGAAAATTCATTTAAATGACAGAATGTTCAGTGAAATTTAACGTGAACAGGTGATTTTTAATCAAAAACTATTTCAGTATTTGAGTCAGGTATTCATGAATTCAGACGAAATGAAGAATTAATTTCGAAATTTTGTTAATTTCACATAAAAGCTCATATTAAACACACGCGGTATACATATACACTTCGAATAGGTTTCCCAACTGATTTAAATGACTTCTACAACAGAACATGTCCGAGCCACACGTGTTCGTGTAACAGTAACAGTGCAACCGGTATCATTACTGAAAGCAATCATGTATAATTCTTTATTTATTTATTGCATAGATGGGTGGACGAGCTCGCCTGGTGTTAAGTGGTTACCGGAGCCAATAGATATCTATAACGTAAATGCCACCACCCACCTTGAGATATAAGTTCTAAGATCTCCGTATAGTTACAACGGCTGCCCCGCCCTTCAAACCGAAACGCATTATTGCTTCACGGCAGAAATAGGCGGGGTGTTGGTACCTGCCCATGCGGACTCACAAGATGGCAAACCACTAGTAAAATATATAGTAATATCACTCGTAGGACGCAGTTCCGACCCTACACGGGATCACCGTCCTGTCTACTTCTAAGGTACTAACAGTCGTCCTTTTTTTTAAAGGAAGGATCAATGGTGGACCCAAGACCTTTCCAGTTGCAACAGTATAGGTGGACGAGCAAAGGCTCAGCCAGGAAATAGTTCTCCGTTGAGAGTTGAGCAGTGGGACCCCAATACAACTGAAGATTTGACCTATCTTAAGGAAGGTGGCGATTTTATGCTGTTATATATACGGATTATCGTAACTGCATTGTCGTATATCGATAACCTTTTTTTTTCGGGCAGGGGGCCGAACCTCCTACGAGGTCCCCGCGCCTAGGGGGCGCGCGGGGTATGTGAGACTAAACGATCTGCAGGTGTTGAGAGCCGACTGCGTGCCCAAGGAATTTTAGGGCCCACCCACTAAACGACTCCCCTGCACTCTTACACCCGACGTCCGATCTCCGTCCGGGGTCAAAACCCGGTCAGAGTAGGGGGGTTCCCGCGGTCAACACTACAACCAGACACGCGGCGCCACCCATATCGATAAACATATCTTAACACGAGGCCAATAAAGTTGACTTTTTGAAAAAAATATATCCTTTTTTCGTTCTATATTTGTAGTTTTTCTATTTTGTTTTTTACCTTTAGATTATAACTTTTTGAGCAGATATGTTGTTCTACAAAATGTTCGCATTTGATTTGAACTAACAACGGCTCGCAGCGACTACGCCCCCGGCATTGCAAACGACCAAGCGAGGGCGACCATCAGATACGCTGGTCTGTTGTCATAGGCAACAAAAATGTGTGTGAAATGTTCAACGGATTAAAGTTGAAAACCTGGATATGCGAATATGACTATACTAACAAAATTGTTCCATTACCTTAAACGACTTTTTTTTATTGCATTTGTAGGCAGAAAAGAAAAAAAAGTTGAAGGAAAGAGACCCAGCGGCCGATTACCTAGCCGTTGGTGTGATCAAATAACCGCCCTAACTGGGCTGCCAGTCGCGACCGCCATTCGAGCAGCTGAGGACCGGATGAGGTGGAAACAGCTCACGAGACAAGCCACGGTCAAGTTTCAGGGAGACGACTTTCAGCAATGAAGAAAACGACGAAGAAGAAAAAGTATACAGACAAGCGTACTGCCCACCTGATGGTAAGAGATTACCGTCGTTCATGTCAGCAATGCCAAGGGCAGAGCCAAGCCGCTGCCTACCGGACTTAAAGAAATTGTTCTAAGCAATAGCCATCTAAAATCAATTGTCATTTACTCGTTTTTAATTAGTCGCGACGAGGCTTCATGTTTCGTTGTGTTCAATGGTAGCACCCCCTCGGCACGCACACACGGGAGCAGGATCAACTCTCATCGACGAACGATGATTGATTTTTATTGGTGCGCAATTTTAAGGATGGCAATATTAAAGTTCGTGATTTATGGCCATTTTTAATGTAAACTTTTTTTATTACCTTTGTAAGCAAACGAGCATACGGCCCACCTGATGGTGAGTGGTTGCAGTCGCCCATGGACTTCAGCAAAACCAGGGGCAGAGCCAAACCGCTGCCTAACTAACTAATAGTTGTCAACTTTTATGTTGGATAATTAAATTCGTTTCATTTAGACAATCTATTAAAAACTAATAAAAAATCTTTAATGATTAACATTGGAATTTGCAGTAGAGCAAATAAATAAATAAACATATGTAATATTAAAACACTTAATAAATAAAGCTACCTAAAAAAATAAGAACCCAAAATAACATTAATGTAAACAGTATTTTAAAGACTTGTAACGATTGTATATACTAGTACATTCGTGTATTTATGTACATACTAGAGGTCCCGCAGTGGTCGAAATTCGACTATAATTAATTGGAATTGTAAGTTTGTACACTATTATGATTGTATTTTATACTTCTATAATCACAAATTTCGCCAAGACTACACTATAAAAAATATTAATAAAGACAAACAATATTTAATCTATTCTCAATTTGACCACAGACGTCAAGAACAAAAGTTTGACAATAAATAAATAGTATGCATGCGTGTGTGCGTCAAATACATGGTATGTAGTGTGTGTAATGTTTTCTTTATTGATTTAATGTATCTTTTATGCATTATTTAAAAATATATTAGCATTGTGCACTTCTTCTCTATATTCTCTATAAGTGTGGAAAATTTCATACTCCTCCGTCCGCGCAATTTTCGTAAAAAGGGATATACAGTTTTTGCTTCACGTATTAATATATAGATTATTAATAGTCAAACTGCTCATTCGCCATCCCTAACGACTCAATTGGAACAATGCACGGCGCGGCGGTCGGCAAACACATTATATCAAAAACGATACTTCCCACATACACACATCGTGCACGAACGAATAATGTAACAGACAAAACGTTATTGTTTCATTTATCATTCGTACATATTTCCGAATGTTTTTTTTTGTGTATACTTTTTTTACTGGAGCCCATAGACATCCACAACGTAAATGCGTCACCCACCTTGAGATATAAGTTCTAAGGTCTCAAGTATAGTTACAACGGCTGCCCCACCCTTCAAACCGAAACGCATTATTACTGCTTCACGGCAGAAATAGGTAGGGCGGTGGTACCTACCCGCGCGGACTCACACATTTCTGCGATCGGTCGAGATAAGTTGACGATCTAAGCTTTCGACGTGTGTATTTAAAACTTTCGCTTTCAATACTCAAGGACGAAGCGGCGACATCCAACTCTGAATAAAGTGTGTTTAGTGCGAGTTTTTTAACGTTCTCGTTAGCGTAAAAGTTAACTCAAATCTGTATGGATTTGGAACAGCGCCCCTAGCAAACGTAGGCAAGCGTTCCAACCCCATATAAATTTGAGTTAACTTTTACGCTATCGAGAACGTTAAAAAACTCGCACTGAGCACAGTGAACTGTTTTGTCATTATCTATTTGTATAAACTATTTGTAAACTATTTTAGTTAATTTAATGGCCAATATCAATTCTGCTGGAAGACGGTTAATACCAGTGACATTAAATAATTAGATGGATAAGTACACAGCAAAGTGGACGCCACTGTAAACTTTAAGAGATGATAATACGGTTTTAATTGCTTTACAATAACCAGGACGCGTGATTCTATTCCAGCAAACACCCATACCCGATCCTGTAGACCGAATGGTAAATAGTCGACGTCGCCCAAAACACGTCATTACGGATCCTCCCGATCCATTAACGGTGCTTTTAGGTACCTCAAGCACCGGTCACCGTCTTCGCCGAACCCGTCACTTGCGACGAAGGGCTCGACGAGCGAATTAACCCATAAACACAGCCCACTGAATTTCTCGCCGGATCTTCTCAGTGGGTCGCGTTTCTAGTCCAGTGGTAGATTCTGCGAAGCACTGCTCTTGCTAGGGCCAGTATGAGCAACACTTCCGGTTTGAGCCCCGTGAGCTCACCTACATGTGAGGGCGAAGCTGAAATAGCCTCTCAAGTTATCAGCATAGGTAGAAAAAAGAAAGAAAATAGGTAGTAAGTATGTAGTAACAAATCGCAAGGGCCCATCGCACTCTGACCTACCCGGTTATAAAAGGGTGAGTTAAATAAGAAATAGTCGGGATTTTGATACGGATGAATTGGAAATAGTAGGTAACAGCTATGAATAAATAAATACTTACTGTTTGTACGTAGGCAATTAATTTTTGTATAGAATAATAAATTCAAAGTCCATATTGTTGTGATCAAAGGTAATTGAACTATTGCGTTGACACAATAAAAAAAAAAACAAAATTCAGAACAATGTGTAATTTAAAAGGCATACGAATTTCGCCTTTAAGCGTAAAACCTCTAAGACTCAAACATTACTTTTGACATTTCGAGCATTTTTCATTATTGACGTACGTATAAGCTTAGTAAGCGCAAGTACTTAATTTTAGTTGCATACGTAAATGAAGTTTTGATCACTTCGTTGACGTCAGAAACTAGAACGATGGAACATATTCGGTATTCAATTACAAATGTTTTTATTTACTAGTGGTCTCCGCTGTAGTCGATTTTCGACTATAGTTAATTGAAATTAAAAGT